AATTTCATATGGATTTAGTAAAAAGCTTTTATATCCACATTACAAACAGACACTTAATTTTTATTTATCTGTATAGATAAGTAATTATAATGAATTAATAGTTAAATAAATGACAATCATGCGTCTAGCTCGTGTATAGGATAGGCAAAACGAGCCAATTTACGGAATCACTAATTATACTAATTATAAATTATATATCATTATCTCTCAGATTACGCTTGTTTACCGATCCGGTTACGGTGTTAGGGGGTAAATAGTGGCGCCTACTTTTATATTATATACTAGCGACTCAACCTCGCTTCGCTCGGGTTCGTCCCTAGTTACGTTTTAATTTTTTTGAGCAGAACCCTAATTCTATTTCTAAAATAAAAGTAGCCTATATGACTCCCTATAACATCAGCTATATTTCAGTGAAAGTCCCGTCAAAATCAGTCCAGGCGTTTCAGAGATTATTCGGAACAAACAGACAGACAGATAAAAATTAAAAACAATGTGTTTTTCTTATAAGTACCGTATATAATTTCATATGCGTTTAGTAAAACGCTGTTATTTTGACATTACATATAGACACTTCAATTTTATTAATCTGTATAGATGTATGTAAAATAAATAATAACTTGTATAAAGTTGCAAGTTGGATTGATACAGAAAAAATATTTACAGGCTAAATTAATTAAATTAAAATATTTCATCCCCATTTTCACCCTCTTAAGGGATGTTGTGTCACGTTATGCTACTTGTGTGTGTGTGTGATGTGTATTAAACTTATTGTAATGGCTTTCACCAATCAATATTTAAAAAAAATTAAGGTAAAAATGAAACTCAATACCTAGTGCATTTATTCTTTCCAAATAAAACAATAAGTAATGAATTATTCATTATAAATGAAAAAAGTCGATTTCAATACGTATATCATACGGTTGCCAATACGAAAAGATTTTTTTCTTTTTTTCTAGGAAGGTTATAGGTTTATAGCCAGGAAAATCTGCAGTTCTGAGAACTTCAGTAATACTATACATAAATGCGAAGGTCATCTAGTACATTATAGACTGACATAAATATCCACTAAAAGGATTTATAATTATATGAAAATCAACCCCATAACAGTGTAAAATGATTTTCCCACAAATACTTAAAAGCTCATATTAATACATTTCGACCCAATTAATGAAATAAACAGGTATGTATAAGTATGTAGGTAGGTATATATTTTAACATTTTACAAAAGCCAATCCTTTGGTAATAATAAATAAGTATGAGTGAAGCCGGGGCAGGTCACTTTTATATCTATACCTACATATAATAAAATTCTAAGTCAAATCTGTACATTAAATATTTTTTGAAATCTAATTGAAATAGACATTATTATCGATACAGAGTCCGAATCTATAGTTTTTAGAATTTTTGTCTGTCTGTCTGTCTTTCGGTCTGTCTGTCTGTCTGTCTGTTACCGCATCACGAGAAAACCACTGGACAGATTTTGATGAAATTTGGTACGATGATAGCTGGTTATCCGGGTCAACATATAGGATACTTTTTACCGGGGGAAAATATCTTATTTTTGAGAAAAAATACAAAAACACAAAAACTGCATTGTAAGAGTATACTAATATGTAAAACCTAAGAATTAGGTTTTTGGTCATCTGAACGCGGGCGGAGCCGCGGGCAAAGCTAGTTAGGATCTATAAACTCGCTAGAATAACAGTGCTATATAACTATTATAAAAGAAACTATATTTCTTATCACACGCCACAAAAACAAGTAAAGCTATATTAAGCATAAATAATATCAATAAGACAATCATTCAGAGCAAAGTCCACTTCTCCACTGCAAAGTCTATCGTTTCCCAAAGTGATAAAATACGTACTAATTCATAAAATAAAAAACGTGAATAGGGACACGTATAGGATGCTGCATGTTAGACTTCGACCTAAACGTGCGTGATAATAAAAAAAACACATGCCTATAGGTAATATTTACTAATATTGTTCCAAATAATTACTACTATTGATAAAACATTTATGGGCAGATATTGATTAAATGTTTATTTAATCACCTACTAAAATCTTTTTAATGTTACTTACCGATATTTTAATAAACTGAAGTAATTAATTCTTTGATAATATATTAGTCAGAAAGCCACATTTCCTTTTATTCTGACACATCTAGTGGTACCTACATACATCATAACAACTCAATGAAGAACTTATTACTTGTCCTGATTGAAGAGGGGATCCCCCTCTTATCTTATGTGGATCTAAGTTTACCCGGATATTTTGGTAATTAGGAATATTTCCTAAATCTTAAGTTTCATTGATGTTAAACAAAATCTAAAGCAGTGGTAGCCCAGTGGTAACGCGCTCGCTTGGGAAACTGAGTGAAGCGAGTTCAAAACCCGGGTCTCGCACCTCTGATATTTTTAATGTACGAATCATTTCCAATATGATTACAACTTGTCTTAACGGTGAGGAAACCTGCATATATCAGAGAACCTAGCAAGTTTTCAAAAGACATGTGAAGTCATCCAACCCGCACTTGGCCAGCGTGGTGGACTATGGCCTGAGTCCCTTCGTATTTAAAGGAGGCCCGTACCCAGCAGTGGGACGTTAAAAAGGGCTGAATACGAACAAATTCTATCAAAGAGAAAAAACTGTGCGCACTATAATATTTTACAACACTCAGTGCGTTTAAATTGTATACAAGCGCAATTAACATGAAATAAAGCAATAAAATTTAACACAATCTATCTCCGACTGCAAAACACTATTTTCCTTCGTGAACTTGTCTTCATCATTTTAGTTAGCTTTTATGCCGTCGGGTTTTATTATTCAAATAATATATTTTTATTAAACATTTGAGATAAAAATAGCATCTCCCAGCTTTGCCAGTTTGTGCTTTTATTAATTTGGCACTGGATAAATATTGATTTTCATACAAACAAAGACCTCTTTTCTTTCAAGAAATTATTATTTAGTCATATTATTTATTTATTAACAATGAATATCCTAAAAAACTTGCTTTTTATTTTAGAAACAACTGATATTTTTTAGTTACTATATAATACAAAATAAACTTATTAATTTATAACAAACAATAGCTTAAGTAAAGCGGACATAGCTTATTAATTATATGTATATTTGCTGGTTCTACAAAATTAAAAGGCAAATACAACCAATCCGGGTCGAACGATCCCTCGGTCACGTATACTCGTACATGCGTAAACAATCGTTCACGGTCAGTGATAACTGACAATCAAGCAATTCGACAATACAATGATAATTCTAGTTTGGTCATTTTTCTATACGAGCCCTTTGATACTCCTATTACGACTGATGATAAGTTTTATCGATATACTGTTTATCTAAATTATTTGTATCAGAAAGCTATATTTTGAGGAATTAATAGGTAATAAGTTATTTCTTAGCCCAGTGGTAACGCGCTTGCTTGGGAAACCGAGTGAAGCGGGTTCAAATCCCGGGTCTCGCACCTCTGATATATTCATGTGCGAATCATTTCTAACATGATTACCACTGGCCTTACGGTGAAGGAAAAACATCGTGAGGAAACCTGCATGTCTGAGAAAACTTAGCGAGTTTTCGAAAGACATGTGAAGTCCGCCAACCCGCACTTGGCCAGCGTGGTGGACTATGGCCTGATCCCCCTCGTATTGAAGAGAGGCCTATGCCCAGCAGTGGGACGTTAAAAAGGGCTGAATACAAGTTATTTCTTTCCATGTTAAATTGGTGAAGTGACATGTAAATTATGTCGCATCGTCGATTCAGAACATCATCTTATAGGTTGTACAAATGTACCTATGTACATATAAATATAATGAGAGATGTACAACAATGTAGAACATTTAGTAGCATTTAGTAATCGTATAACATTTAACGACTTACCTAATGTTATATTACTATACATTATAAGCAAGCTCTTATAGCGACTCCTCACTCTACAATGACCGGGATAAATATAAAAAAAAAACAATTAGCTTTCGTCCCTTACAGGAATCGAACCCGCAAGCGTGTTCGTGAATGAAAACGATTATATTAATAAATCATATTATTCCACAGTGGTCAAAATATCATATCAAAATTAAAAAGGAAGCAATATTTCGGCGATTGTACTTTTATCGCAGTAACAAAAATCACTTTCACCGCCTAGATAAGCTACTTATCTATACATATACCTAATAAAATTGTAACTAAGCCGAATCTGTACATTAAATATTTTTTGGAAAATCTTATTGAATCTATAGTTTTTAGAATTTTTGTCTGTCTGTCTGTCTGTCTGTTACCGCATCACGGAAAACCACTGGAGGGATTTTGATGAAATTTGGTATGGTGATAGCTGGTTATCCGGGTCAACATACCTATAGGATACTTTTTACTGCAGGAAAACATCTCACTTCTGAGAAAAAATACAAAAACTGCATTGTAAGAGTATACTAATATGTAATATCTAAGAATTTTTTTTTGGTCATTTGAACGCGGGCGGAGCGGCGGGCAATGCTAGTCAATCTATTTTAATAGTTTTAAAATTTCTAAATACCTTTTTAGTATCCTTTAACCTTCGTAACTTTTCAACATTCATAACATAGTTTTAGTTGAGGTATTAGAAGAATATTTGGCCTGCTTTTGTGTTATAGGATGGATATATGTGTTTTATTGCTTGAGATACTATAAAAAAAATCACTATTAAGAGCTTCTTTCTCTATCGTCGTTTTATCGTTTTCGAAAATGTGCATAATTTACTACATTACATTTCTTACAGAGCATTAAATAAGAAAAAATAATGATATACAATTATTAAAGCAAATCTGAAATCTAAGAAGACTTTTAAACTAATTTAGACCATTTTTTTGAAGGAAAGAGGTTTTAAGTATTGACTACTTAAATTAAAAAATATCACACTCATCAAATGAAATATTACAATTCCAAAGTGGAAGCGTATCAAAGATACAGAATTGAAGAAAGCTTAAAGTAAGATATATACGTTTAACTCACCGGCATTTCGTCAGATACCCCGCGTAGTCCGCCCGCCGCGCCCGCCTTACCACCGCGAGCACCAGCTTTCCACTGTGCCATCGCACCACCTGGCCCCTGAAACTTCGCGTGACACACACCACCTACATGATCGTCACAAAAACCTACCCTATGATCCCACGAAATAACTTTCCTTTTCCCTCGCCCATCTTCCACGTGATTTACATTCGAATTTGATGTCTCTTCGACATCCGCAATTCTATCTCTGCTATAAACAACTTTATCGACATCAACACAAGAACTAAATTTTTCTTTTAAAGAATTAATAACAACCTTCTTTGCCAATTCATATGAGACTACCGACTGTGTATCCCTCCATTTTTTGAGGACAATATCATTTGGTTTCATGTCTACTTCCATTTTATTGGTATTCGTCTCTCTTTCTGGCTCAGTGTTGGTTGATTTATCTTTTATTTTAGGTTCAAGTACTTGTATATTGTAAGTGTTTTTATTATCTATGCCTTGTTGCTGCTCTTCTACCTCATTTAGAATATCCCAACATATCACGCCTTCTTCGTCAATCGGCGCTCGAGATCTTGGAGAATTAATCGGTTTTAATTTTTTAGACATTTTTCCGTTTCTCTAGACGTGTTATATATGTAGCATTGATATTTTAAGACTGCGATAAGAAATGTGTGAATTTATCAACGTGTAAAATGAAACTAAAGTATAAATTTACTAGAAAATTGCAAGTCAGTAACCCAATTTCATTTAGCTATCGAAGGATATTTATTACTTTTCAATGTACTTTCCACAAAGCAACTAGAACACCTTTGTGCAAGTTTAAAAGATTATCTATCTAACTAGGTCATATGTGTATGTATGTATAGGTAATGTAGATGGATAAAATTAAAGATAAAAATATTTTTATTTTTATTTTTTTGTTAATAAAATGTATATAATCGTTTATTTGAAATTTTTATACCAACATATTGTTACTCCAACCAACAAAATTATTTCTGGAAGAAATTTCCTAAAATGTCTTAAAGACATAAGTTTTCTCTTATTTAGTTTTTTCTTTATATATTGTAAACCAACTCATTTACTAAGTGACTCTAACTTATGTGAAATGTTAGACATCTTAAATACATATCTACAGCGAAGTAATATTTTATTGCACAGTCGGTAATATACACGGTGGTCTTCTAATTGATAACCAACGATTAATGTTCCACAGATGGCCTCAGATATCTAGGCAGGCATACATTGAACTCACTTCTTTGTACTACATGTACTATATAATATATAAGATAATTTTGTTACAGGAAAAAATAAGCTATATTTATGTACATAAATTCTTTCAAAACATTCTTTATATCTTTGGGCCATGCATTTACATGACCAATACCTATATTTAGAGACAAATTGTGAAATCGATAAAAAATGTTTACATTGATTTGCATAAATCCTTTAAAATTCAGTTATCATACTAATATTTTAATGTGAATGTGTGTTTGTTTGTTTGTCTTTCTTTCACGACGAAACAGAGTGACGGATTGGCGTGATTTTTTGTGTGATGATATTTGGAAGGCTGGAGAGTGACATAGGCTACTTTTAGACGCGGGAGATTATGTCATTCCCACGGGAAAACACGTTAAAACACAACTCAAAAAAATATTTATTCTCAGAATTACTTGAAACTTGGTATTAATGCTCTTCAATAGAATTAATTAAATACGTATTTTAGCATTTTTTGAAATTCATCTCTTAAGGTAGTAAAATAGAGGATGAAAATTTGTATGAAACCTACCTTTTTAAAGTTTTTTTTTATAGTTGGTTCTGCTAGTTACATATAAACGAAGGAAGTAATATATCATGCAATATATGTACATATGTATACTTTGCAAGACATCATTATTTCGAAATACAGATTTGTTTTTATGAAAGTAGAACATTGTAATAAAATTATGTTTATTTGTTACAATACAATATACATAACAATCAATATAAATAAAAATAAATCACCAAGTATGTATGCGCATAACTTCCGATCGACTGCACCAAATTCGATCAATTTTTTTTGTGTTTGTTATTGTCTGGACAAGCTTTATATGGAAGAAAATGAAAACAAAATTGTTTTTACTAAAATAAGATTTTTTAAATCTCCTGACAAGAAAAGTGAGTCAGTGAAATAGTTTTTATCCCGGAAATCATCCCTTAAGGGGGTGAGAATGGGGATGAATAGAACCATTATAGAACATAATTTGATTAGTATGTAATTCTATTACATAATGTACTTACTAAGGATTGCAGCAATATCTACAAGCTCGTAGCAATGTCGTAGCATTCGGACAGTCTAGCTACGCTTGCCTCCCTTGCCTACTACACTTTTTACCTATATTTTTTTCTGAATAAACTTTATTTCCAGTACTTGCAATAATTCTTACTAAATAATAAACCAGCGACTTACCCCTGCTTCACTCGGGTGTCTCTACGCGTCTTTTTACCATACATTTTATTACGTCATATAAAACTGACTGTGAAAGAATTTTCAGAAACGGATCAGTAGTTACAGAGATCACTGCCTACAAACAAATTTGTAAACTTTATCTATTTATAATAGTAATGTAGGTTAGTGTGTATATTTCTAGTAAACAAAGTATATTTGCATTATAGATTCTATTTAAATAATAAAATCTTCCATCTCGATATTTTTTAAACAAAAATATTTAATTTATAGCATACTGCATATCGTATGATATTTTAAGAACCATTAAAAACATACTATTGTTTTTGATTATATAAATAAACACAAGAGTTTTTCTTTTGATATACACATCCCGCTTATTAATTTATTAATATTATATGTATTAGCGAGTGGCGATTTACCCTTGCTTCCGTCGGGTGCTTCCCTAGGTACTAGGATTTCGTTTACAATTTCATGGGTTTTAATTTTTTGCGCGGAACCCTAATTCTTTTTCTTCATTAGATCAACCAGTGAAAGTCCCATCAATATCAGTTTAGCCGTTTCGGGGATTAACCGGAACAAACAGACAGAAAAAAAAATATTTTTCTTATATGTAAGTACCGTATATGTATTTAGTAAAAAAAGTTGGTTTTTTTTTAACATTACAAACAGACGCTTCATTTTTGTTTATTTGTACAGATGAATAAATTATCTATCTATAAAATTCTATAATTATATTTTTTAAACTAACCTACATTGTATATATCGGAACCAGTATCAAAACAATAACATATTTTTCCATCAGCCTACAATCTACAAGCGCAACGTGCACAAGGTAAACAAATACTACCAATTCTAGATTTAGGTCATATCGTCTGGGTTCTTGGACTTTGTCCGTCTGCCGATGTTGGAGGCAATGCACTGACCTAAGAACTTTCCATGCGACGAAACGAGTCACCGTTATATTATGTAAGCGAATAATTATATACTATCCAATAATATAAAGTTAAAAATAATTCACATGTACTTATACGGAATGGTGAAAAAAAGTATGATTACAACAAATTATTTCTCTAACTACGTAATTTCGGCAAAGGGTAATTCGAACACACACGCGTCAATTTGCTACAATACGAAATCTGTGGATTTATTAAAGTTATACTTATATTGGCAAGTTTGGAAAAAACATTAACCGACTTCCAAAAAGGAGGAGGTGCTCAATTCGTCGGAATCTTTTTTTTATACATATGTTCACCGATTACTCGAAGACGCCTGAACCGATTTGGATTTTTTTTTGGTTCAAAGGGTAAGGTATTACGCTGCGCGCTTACACATATGTACACACACACGTATTTTTTTATTATAACTTAAATATGATATCTGTAAAATGAACAATGATTACATACAACTCCTAGTGTGAGCCTGACTTAGGTACATTCTTGTTTTACTTTTATTACAGTTATCACAATAGTATAATTACACCAAGTTTGCTTTTATATGTGCATCAAAACATCCCTCTATATTATACTTTTTTCAACCGACTTCAAAAAGGAGGAGGTTCTCAATTCGACTGTATGTTTTTTTTTTTTAATGTTTGTTACCTCAGAACTCCGTCATTTATTTACCGATTTGGACAATTTTGGTTTTGTTTGAAAGGGTATACTTCCAGATTGGTCCCATTTAAATTTCAAAAAAAAATACCACCCCTAAGGGTGGAAAAACAACTAATGATGAATTTAACCTACTTCTAATTGTCATATTGACTTGAAACTTTACAAGTATTTCTATTTCCGTTGATAGTACAGTGGTTCGGTGTTGTTGACCTGATCTGATGGCAAGGCCAGAAGGTGGATAGGTGGAACTCTTCAACGGCTAATAGTAGATACTTTGAGTTTGGGCTTATTTTGTTTGATTTGACTAGCCTAACACGTTAGAATCCTTACTTTGCTACTACTGTCTACACTAAAAAGGGAAAAATAAAAACTTTTTAACAAAAAAATAAAAACCGACTTCAAACAAAAGCACTAAAAAGTAAAAAATAACTGATTGGTAGTTTTCATTTACTATACATACCTAATCAAATATTTTCGAAGTCGGTGTGCTTTGGCTAAGTAATTAAAGCCTACCTATTAAATACATACCTAATCAAATATTTTCGAAATCGGTGCCAGCCCATACAAAGCAAAGCACACCGACTTCGAAAATATTTGATTAGGTATGTATAGTAAATGAAAACTACCAATCAGTTATTTTTTACTTTTTAGTGCTTTTGTTTGAAGTCGGTTTTTATTTTTTTGTTAAAAAGTTTTTATTAATTTTTATAAGGATCTCTGCTATTTACTACGAGTACGTTCCATAAGATACGGGCGTTTAAAGTAAACTATTTTTAATACTTGCAGCAAATTTTAGTTTCTTTTTTGTTTAAAAAAACGCAATATTTTTTTTATTGTCATAACACAGATAAGCAATCACCGTCTACATCGCGTCTGACCTACACTGTGCAGCCTTGGACGATGAGCATTATTAGAATATCAATGATAACAATATTTATATTTCCTAAAAATCGTCCTTATATGATTAATTAATTATCGGTGAATTAGACGCAGAAAGTTTAAGCACATGTAAGGTAGATCAATTTTTAACTCGCTATGCAAATATAGCGGTGTTATAAGTTCAACGTGTGTGTCGCGCATAACAAATGAACCGATTTCTATTTAGTTCTTTTTTTGTTTGATAAGTGACTTTATCGAGTGTGTCCTTAGCTATAAATCAAGAAAATCCGTTCAGACATTTGCAGTCTGAGTCAAGAAAAAATATAGAAAAGGATATCTTAAAACTATGTTTGAACATCCTGCGTCAAAAGAATAATGACCATAGACAAAAAGTATATTTAGGTAAGTCATAATAATAGTCATACTAGGTATGAAATCCAATTAAAATAAACAAAAAAAAATACAGAGTTTAACGTAGGTACCTCATCTAGTCAATAAAACGTTCATTTCTTTTCATAATATCATTCATATTATGAATGATGTCATATTAAGGTCCACTTTTAGATGCTGGCTGAAATTTAATTTGTATATATAATGTAATATTTATCATAAAAATCTTGCTGTAGCATATCAAAACGTTTGCTTTTAAGATAAGTTGAATGGTACTTATA